GTCTTCTGTCGAAAAAGAATCTTACTCGAGAATATTCTCACTCACATCTAACTAAACATAGCCTCAACTTTACTTACTTTCTGCATGTAGGGAGACTGTCGTCTTTGAATGTTTTTTTCTATTCCCCCCTTTATAATATGCCGGCCTTGTCCTTCTACACTATCACGACTGTTCGTATTTCTAAGATGCAACGGCCCTAATGGTAGCTGCCACTTGCCAGATATGCTAATAAGTACTAGATACACTAAAGACCGAACAGCTCCATTTGTGCCTTTAGTTCTCTATCGATAAAGATGACAGCATGAAAGGCATCTAGAGCTAATGGTAATGCCTATTTACAAGCTCAGATGCTGAGTGGATCCATTCAAGTAACCCTCGGCTTCAGTTACTTCTTTTCAGAATACCCCTGGGGTGAAGTCAATGGCCTGTGCCTTCTCAATGACCCCAGCAAGGCTCTTAACGAATTCTTGATGAATAGGATCCTCCTTGACATAGTAGTCTCGGTCTGCGGCACTCGTAAACTCCACTACAAAGGCATGTGTGATGCCATGCTATCCTCGGCGAGGAGAATAGTAAGTGATTCAGAACCATGTATCAATGTAGGTCATTTATAGAATACACATGGGTAACATACCTGGATACCCTCAGGAGAATTATCTATGCCACCAAATGACGTCTTGATGTAGGGTTTCTGGGACGAAGGGTGAAGGCAGTTATCTTTTAGGGCCAACATTCGACTGCAAACCTGATTGGAGTCGTAGTTAGTATCTATATCACCATCCTGATATGCATACAACCATGGCTTCTTAAATCTGTCAGAACTAACAGGGTATTCTGAACATACATCTTTGATAATTTCAGGGCTAATGCCCGCTTGAAACTGGAAGAGAACAATATGGGTGATCGACATCACGAGAGGCTGCTGTGCGGGCGTTGGATGGCTATCAAAAGCATCTGGAAGAGTGGAATGAATACATGTAAAACAACGCAAAAGCGGGGTAATTAAAAGTGACGTCATTCGAACAATGTTGTCTATAATGATCCCTGATTTTGAGCATCTCCTATACTAACTGCCTTTCAGTAGATGCGACAAGCAGCCTCTAAGATAGCTTACCAAATTTAAAGTATTTACACGCCATATACAATTACAGAAGGCAATAAAAGACTTCCGCAATGCACTAGATATTGATCTGAAGGAAACATCAGCCCAAGTCTTCCATTTATAGATATTAGAGCAAAGGATGAGTATAGGAGCATTAAGAGGGCGTGCAATTTTGCCAGCACCGACCGTCCTAGCGGATAAAGGGACTTGATGAGGCTCTCAGCGTACAAGAGAACATCAATAAAGCTCTTATCACCAAGTCGTAGGCTACATACAAAATCATCTTGGGGGAGCTACCGAGCATCTATAACTGCTGTCAAGTATACTTCACTTGTGTATATCGAGGTTTTCTCCAATTAAATGCTCTACGATCTAATACAAAGGACATCAGCGAGACCATTTTACCACCCAAGGCCTACTGGGAACTCTATTTTGCTGTCAACCACCAATAGCACTATAAATTACCTTTTCAAGCCACCCGGGCATTTTTAGGCAGTCGAATAGGATGACTCTTAGGTAGTAACGGTTTCTATACTCCAAGAACCGACTAGTCACAAGTCACTAATGAGCGAAGGCGACAACACGATTGCATCTTCACGCATCATCCTGAGAAGACCCAGCTCTTGTTAGTACCTCAAAATAATTATGTCCCACTGGGTTATATTAGTTTGAGCGTAACTTTCAATTCGTGGTTTTTGCTATACTGATTTTTTTCCTTTCCTAAGGTCTGAGAAAGACCCCTAGCAATGATTACTGCTAAGTATATGGTTCGCATAGTAAAATCTCCACATAAAATATCAATAATTTAGTGTTATTTCTAGGTTCTTTTACCCCTTGGTGCTCGTTAAGGAAGGATGCATTCCCGTCCCCAACAGATGAAGCGTTGTCGATCTTATAGACACCTTCTGATTCATCGATAGGTAATCAAAACCATGCGCTATACCCAATTTATAGGTTTATAACACTCCACTGGGCAACTCAACATACTATCTAAATTAGGGTACGCTTGAGATGATGTACTAAGCTGGTAAATCTTCCAATCAAACCCAATGGCTATCAAATCATCAAGTCCAGGTTCGACTAGCCAGACAAGATGTTACTATACATCACATCTTCACTTGTATGATCGTCAAATAGAGTGGGAAATAAATGTATGGCAGACTTCATTAAATTGCTTGGAGATTAATCTTGAAAGCAAGAAAACCAACCAAGCTTCGGAAAAACCACGTACATCCTGTAGGTAGCATCACTGTTCTAAGCATCGAGTTCTAAAATGGATGTTTCTTACTATTTGCGGGGAGCGTTCGTTGACTGCTTATGTCACTGCAAGTTATATTGCACACAGGCTATGGTAACCCCGCGTAATTCCAGTTATGCAATACAAGGAGCCGATGAGTAGACTGTGATAGACATGTAGAAATCACATCATTCCTAGTTGCCAACTACCACCACCCTCAAACCCTTCCTTTTGAAATTTCACCCTTATCTGGCTAGTCGACTGCTCCATTTCCATAGGACCTCCTGTTGAACATACCAAGTCCCGGGCTCGCTGGTCTAGTGTGGCACAAACCAGAGGCGTAGGCGACGATTTCCAGACATCAAACCCACCACTTTTTGTCTGAAGTGCAGTCATGCCAAGGAATACCGTTGTTGAAACTACCAGCAAAGCTGGGAGAGTAGCCCATGCCCATCGGACATGTATTTGGGTTTCCATCTTCCATGCCGTGCCATTTGCAGGAGTGTTATTATAGAGACGCACCCCCGTTGTGATTCCAAAGGCGAGTTTCTCAGAGAATTCTGGTGAACCATAGCGAATCATGGGGTATCTGAACTCGTCGTATGGTGTCTCAACTTTGTTACAACGTAGAGAGGGGCTTATATTTAGTTTTGAGTACATCCATGCCTTTATAAAGGGGATGCCAACCCAAAACTTGGCGCTCGTCAGATTACCTTGTGAAGGGACATGGAACGTAAAATTTGGTCCAAATCCTAGGGGCATTTCAAGGTGTTGCCAGGTATCGACCAATTTCTCCCATGGTTTGTTGTTATGCATGCCCGCTGTGTATGTTTTCACACACCAGTACACAAGACAATGGTGAGCTGTCGCATTTGTTAAGTTGGTTCCAGAGGCAATAGAAATTGAGGTGAAATTCGCAATTATAGGCGGAGCAAAGTATCCAACATGCGAGGACATCTCACTTGCCACGTCTCCAGTGATGCCATTATACTCACTCACGTTGAGCGTCAAACCACTAGGGAGTGAATGCTGGCAGAAGGTGAGGTTGTCTTGGCACCAATTATCAATACAGCTCGTACTGATTGAGTCTGTTAAATCAGTGCAGGTTGAACAAGCAGCCAACGACCTGAAAGGAGTAATTTCGCATTCTCCGGTCGGGCAATCAGGAGCAATCGATAATTGCGTCAGGTTACCGTTGTCATTTGTCGTGCCTCCAAGAATGGCACTATATAATGCAGCAAGAAGCTCTTGTGGAAGGATCTGAGATCTATCCTGGTACCCAATGATTCCTAGAGAACGGGGTACAGTGGCAGGCTCAGCACTAAAGGCAATGCGATTTTCGACGGTCACCATCTGCTGAACAAAAGGACCTGTACCTATTGCCAGTATAGTAACAAGCGCACCCATGCAAGCCGAAGCCCTAAATCGACATGAATTCTTAGCAGACATTGATGGCCTTCATACCATAAATAGCAACGACAAACCTAAATCTGGAATGCCAGATCAATGAGATGCAACCAAAGGCGCCTCTACTAGCAAAATCGTATAGACTGATATCTGAAAGATGACAGCCAGTACTGCTCAGGTTATTCCAGCGAGCTTGGCCGAGACAAGCAGCGACAGGTTCCAACAGAAGTGCGGTAAAGATCTGCACAAGCCATGACAGTATCGAGTTTACTGTTATGCCGTATGGCCAGTCTGGAGAAGGCTTGCCATTATATGCGTTCAAGAATACAATGATTCCCACCAAAGCACCAGCGCTACCACAGCATGAGGCTATCTCTAAGATCCAATAGTCGTTTGCCTTGCTTGATAGGGATCTTGGTGGATTAGTATTTGTCTTCTTAGAAGATGATACTGGAGGATGATAAGATGAAGGGCTCCTGTCTGCCAGAGTCCTATCTGATGGCGATGGGGAGGCTGATCTTCGTATGCTGTTCGCGCGGGTGTCTTCACTGAGATGTTCGTTCGGCAGTTGCCGTGCCTGAGTTGAAATATTCATCTGGGAATGGAGAAAAACTAGGAAAGAATAGAATTGAAATCTATAAACAGAATGCTGTGGTAGCATACAGAGACGCTTAGAGTGTCTGCTATTTGTATTGAAGCGCTGGATGTGCCATATCTATAATTATCATTATCAGCGCTTAGAGCATGGACATGATAGGATCGACGATTCCCCCGAGAACCGGGGATATGACTTAAAGATCATACCGGCGGCTGTAATAATTCAAGGTCCTTTCACTGGCTGCATGTAAATTTTGGCGCTGGGTAGACATAAAAATAAACATGGGGTGCCGAAGTATCAATCTAGGCATTGCCGCCCACCATATGGGACCCTGGAAAGCTGGAACATGTCTAATTCCCACCCCTGTTATCGCTGTCTACAACGAATCATCTAGGGAATTTCAAAAGTAACATTCAAAGCTCTTGCATGTCTTTGAATCGCTAAGGATTTCAACCGGTATGGTTCATGCCAGCTTCTAAATCAGGATGAGTTGAGAAAGCTGTCATACACATAAATCTACTAATACGGATTTGAGGAAACTTGAGCCCTTTCAAGTACAGGTAACTATATACCGGTAGGCCAGTGGATCAAGGACCACTACCCAAGACGAGCGGAGCGCAGGTTTTTAAAAAGCTGAGAATATACTATAGTTTATTCAATTTATCCAGGTAGTTTAAATAGTTCAAGCAGCTTAAGCAGTTTTATAGCTCTAAGCTAGATCGTATATATATCGACGCGGTCACGTGGTGTCAGTTTTGAGCGACCAATCGGAAGGTGAAGTCGAGAAAAAACGGGAGAAGTTGCTAGCATTTGAACAATAAAATTAATTCCCCAACGTATGGAAGTCTTTAAGATAACCTAACCAATTTCTGTGTCTTTTACCAGGTTGGTAGGGCTGAGCAACTTGGATTCGAAAGTAGTATGTCCCGTCTCCGTATTCCTGAACCCTGTCCGCCAGTATTCATACGATAGTGTCGTAAAGAATAGAACACCACTTCATCTTGTCATAGAAGCTTTACCAATACTATGGTGTTGGGCTCATCATTTGATATAGTCGTGTGGCTTGGGGGGAAACGTTACTGGTATATACCCGAAGAATGGCTGGGCAATAACCGGATCAATTTGCTTATGGATGTATATGGTAAACTTGATCTTTTAGGCCCAGGATAGCAAAGATGAGATTCACGGTATGTTTCTGGGAAACACTCCAAAAACCGACAGTATCGTAGGTATACGGTCTTCGCAAGAGGCCAATAGGAAATACTCAGTACGTTCCAGTGTCTTTCTTTAACATGAAGTATACCGCCCGTTTGAGTCCTCATCTCGATACTGGCTAAAGGACACATGCTACTATCCATACAGGAGGACGCTATAGGGTGGTGTGTTTCAATTCAAACCAATATGACATAGGGCTCCATCCTTTGCAACACACAGAATCAATTGTGCCCAGTGATTGCCAGGTATGGAATTTCTTATTCGGTACTTGTGTCTAGTGAGGGGGCAGGGAGGCTCTGCGAAGGAGAGAGAGAGAGAGGTCATTTTAATTGTTATAATCCACCTATGAACACGAGGATTTATTAAGATTATGTGGAGTAACTTTAGGGTTTTAGTCTGGCCTCCTGTCTATTTATCATTCTAGGCATTTTGGAATGGATACATCGCCGATTTCAAATTGAGGATTTCTCATTCTCAAGAGGAAATGGAGACATCGATCTCACAATTCTCAGTTTTTGATGCCAAAAGTTAACATGGCCGCAAGGATATTTCCCTTCGGAGAGATTATGATCATGTTATCCAGCTTGGTCGCATCCAGCTACATACGTATATGTCCAATGGGTCAGTGCGTAAGAAAGCAACTAAATTTAGAGAGGCATCATAACACGAAAAGATCATCGCACATTGACCCTTACAGTTGAAGTAAACTACCGGATATCAGGGCACTCATGCGTATCACGCCAATCAAATGAGGCGCCTGCGCGCTTCCAAGACGGCAACTTCGTATTCATGGCATTAGCCCCAATTTAGACCTCCGACGAGGTGAGTATACAGACTTCCTATGCCCGGTTGAGTCCAGTACATCGTGTACCCAAAGTTAGTACCTGCAATGAAGACAAGTATGAATGGCGGGGGTGTTTAATTACCTCGTATTTGCTGATCATGAAGCCAGAGCCCAGGCTATCCAGCACATCGCATCGTATACATGATCTGTGAGCCATGATGCACATATAAGTATGTGTCTCCTCCCCTGACAGTCAATGCTGGTGTTTTTCTATCTTTACAAACCTCCGTCGCTCGCTAAATCTACACTATCCACTTTCAACACCATCAGTCGTTTCCAACCACCCCACAGAATGCAGAAGTTCCTCACCCTAGCTGCCCTCTTGGCAACCACCGCCCTCGCGGCGGATCGCACGCCAGCCCTGGTTGCCCGTCAGGTAGTTGAGCTTCCTTGCTCCTATCAAGCGAAAAGGCCTGTGGGGACGGCTGCATCCCTCTCTCCTATACCTGCTGCCCCAATAACCTCGGTGGCTGCCCCCTGGGCTCCTATTGCGACGGTATCGGTTGCTGCCCTAATGGAGAGACCTGTACGGGTGGAGGAGGCGTTTCCACTCGCCCCGGATCGACTATCTCCATTACCAACACTCTGACCAATACGTTGACGTCCACAAGCACCTCCACCCACACTTTGACGTCCAGCGAGGTCGTGACCCCGACCTCCACCCCAACACCTAGCTCGAGCTCCTCGTCCTCCCGGAGCGTCATTCCTCCCAGTTCGAGTGCGGCGTCTCCCTCGTCATCGACGCCGGCCGTGTCGCCCACCTCACCTCCGCTTCATACTGGTGCAGCTTCTCACTTGACCCCGGGCTTCTACGCTGCTGCCGGACTCATTGTCGGCGCTGCTATCCTTTAGATGGGTCTTGACTGATACTATTGTCGTGGTTCTGTGGATCCATGGCTTTCCTCCTTGGCACATCCCATATGCTGGGGTATGCCTGCTGATTTGCAAGGATAATACAAGGAATAATAGTCAGGGTGTGCCTAGTTTAATGTCGTATAATGTATTTACTTCTCTGTGTACCCTCTCCGATGCCATGTCGTTGTAACCATCGATGCGTAAGTCTTAGAGTACATACTTGTGTGGAATCCAAAAATGCTGCTTGTTGCTGAAGAGCATTTAACGTATGCCGCTTTCTCTTCGTGTGTAATGTTTTGCTTTGCTTGCGATTATAACAATTACTTGGTACAGAGCTCCAGGTGATATTTCCTTCCACGTCTGATGTGTCATTGACCAGGTTTGCTTGCTTCCAGCGGCCGAAGCAGTGTGCAAATGTCAACCAAAGTACAGGATGGAAGACGGATTAGTAGTCAAGATAGATTCGGAGTGTAGTAGGAGACAAAGATTCATGTTCAGCCTTTCACAGCATATAATGAGGATATATACCTAGCTAGGATAACCGACTTGCTCTCTAATACAGGCTAAACGGAAATAAACAAAGCAGGAAGGATATCATGCACCCAGCAAAAATCACAAAGTAGACCAAGAAAAAAAAAAAAAAAAAAGGGGGGATATTGCACTGCACAAAAAGATATCGACAAAAGACAACAATATACCTCATCTAATGAAAATCAAGACAAAATGAAAAGAAGCTCCGGTTATAGCTACTTTTAGCATGACAAAAAGAAAAGACCCAAGCTGGTATATAAATGAAATAAATACATTATAGCAGAATATTGAGCACCCATGTGCACCGCACTACTTTCCACCCACAACATCCCCGCTTGGTGACGTGATCTGAAATCGTTCAAAGTTCAAGGTGTAGTTTCCTTTGACACCCGAGTTGGCGAGATCGATAGTGTATTTGTCCTTCGAGCTAGGGTATGGACCAGTGAGGTATGTTTCAATCTTCTTCTCCGAGAGCATGGCCGCATCAAGCGTACCAGTCTTCTCCAAGATGTAGAGCACGGCGATTCGGGAGAAATCCAGAACCTCCGTGGAGACTGTGGCAGTTGGTGTGGGTGTGGGTGTGGTGGTCGAAGAAACTACGGAACTCTCCTTGGTTGTTGATGGTGTTGCGCTTGTCGGCGGTCCGTGGACCTCTGTTGGTTCTGAACCATCAAATATGATGCCGTCCATGGTTGAGGTAGAGCCTCGAGCAGCGAGGGCCCGCGTGGGGACATTTTCTGGGGTGGTGGTAGGTATCGATCCACCAATTTGGTCTTCTGGAAAGGGGGAGACTGGCAGATCAACGGGGAAAAAGCGCCGGGCTTTGTTGTCGGACACGGTTCGAAATGAGACCAGTGTGTTCTCTGTAGTACAGGAAACATTGTTTTGACTGAAGAGTGCCATAATGGTGAGCGGATCTAGCGGAATGCTATAGTTATTCTGAGAGTCTTCGAACAAGCGCGGGATTTCGCTCCCCATTGTGGCGTTCCTGGATTCGGAGCCGTCATTTATTTCGGTCGTGGTACAGCTGGCATCCCCGGCTATTGTACACCGGGAACCTGTATAGCCATTCGCGCAGACACAAGAGCAGACATCACCACTCGAGACACTAACACCGCCGTTCTCACATGGCGCAGTCTTCGCACACCCTGACTTGGCATTGGCTGCCTTATGCTTCGGTACGGCGACGACGAAAATAGGTACGAGAACAGCAACGAGAACAATGATGAGAAACACGACACAAAGAATAATGAACAGTCGAAGGGACATTCCGCAGCAACGACGGGGCCGTTTTTGTTCTTTCTCCTGGACCTCCCTAGGTCCCGAATCTCGGGAATTCAACTGATGCAATGTTGATCGCCTGAAGAAAAAAGGCCAAGACGAGTGGCCGTTCTCGGGCGTAGCAGCTGGTGGGGGAAACGAGGCAAGAATATCTTTGATAGATCCCGACCCACGATATTGGTGGCCTGGACATAAAGTTAGTTTGTAGAAGTGATTTACTACAGGACACGAAGTGCGTACCAAATGGGAATCTGGACGGTCCGCCACCGAGAAGATCATTCCGGCTTGCCGTTCTCCCATGCTCCAGATTTGTTGCAAGTTTTGTCGCACGCCGGATCAAGTCAGGCAAACTTGTAAGACTGCCTCGCTTCTCTGCGTCACGCACGGCACCCATATTCAGGGGAGGTGGTCTGCGGCCACCTGGCCTTTTGTCGCTCATCGTTGGTATGGCCCTCGGAAACCCTTCAATCTCTTTTGCGAGAGCTTCAGAGTTGACATGTTCCTGGTGCTGTTGGCCAACATCCAATACAAATGGGGCCTTGTCCAAATCAAAGTGAGACGAATCAGACGATGATGTCAGAAACGAGCCTCTCCTTGCCCTTCCAGTCGAAATGTCATTTGGGAACGACGGGTTTGGGACGTCCGAGGCGGCAGGTCTAGCTCTTGCAGGATCCTCTGGAGGTTGTACAGGTGACTCGGCAGTAGACCTTCGGATCATACACACCGAAGGTTGACCTCGTTTTCCTATGCTTGCCTGTCTCACTAGGGTAGAGCTGTTCCCATTAACAGCATGATTCGTCTCTCCATCATCATCTGAGACTCCATCAAGATAGGACCCCAAGATCTCTGATTCAGCCTTTGCCGAGGTCCATGACGGGATCGCCCTGTTCGATACATATGAACCTTTACTGTCGGATCGCTCCTCTGGAATAGGTGAAACGGATGAGATGCGATTAACAACCTGCCGGCCTATAAGGGGAGGAGGGGCGAGATTTGATCCATTTCTCTGAGAGGGATCGGCTGGCAGACGTTGAGCGGGGAATGGGAAATCAGGGATCGATGCCATAGAGGCAGCCGAGGAAACTGTGGAGTGCCTCAGGAGATCCTCCGTCGCAACAGACACGCGAGGGGTTGAAGCTGCAACACTAACCCGAGGAGGCGATGAATTTGATAATGGCTGTGAGAACGATGGGACTGGCCGTTTGATGTGTAGAGGGCTCGGTGCCACATCTGGGACGCTTCTCTCTGAATACACTGATGGGGATGGCATGTCGGGCCGTGGGGGCCGCTGAGGTGGGGCCCCCGGGGAGTGATATGTCTTACGTGCGAATCGACCATGTCCGTCTGCGAGTTCCCGGTTGGTAAAGGCCATTGTGCCATATGCGCGACATTTCCGAGAGGTGGCACTCCTGCGTCCACCTGAGGTTCGTGACGTTTCCCAGCTTCCAGCATTTCCCTTGCCCGTCGAACAGATCCTTGTCTTTCCATCATGCAAGTTGAGCCTAGCGTAAGGATCCGAGCTGTGCTTAGAAGCGTGTGCTGCGAGGGTCAAATAATGGGGAGTTGACAATAGTCACGATGTGTTCCCGTATGATACAGCCTTTGTTAAACCATAAGAAATCACCGATGTTGCGGTGTTAGTATATTCCTGTCTGTTTGTGATAGTTGGAAGCCAGCTTGACACGCCTGTCAAGGACAAGTTTAATGAGTGAAATAAAAGGTTGGCGGAATAGTTTCTGAAAAATGGATTTCAAATGTTTCCTGCAGCGGTGGCTGTCGACTACGCTGTAAATGCGCAAAAAGCGAATAGTACTTGAGGAGCCTGTGCTCAAGTTTGATATAAAAGAAAAAGAGTGTGTTGATAGAAGTATTGCAATGGCACTCAATGCCGTTGCTGCGGTGAATATGATACGAAGTCAGCAAAGGCATAGTTCGGAATATGGTAAGAGTTGTATATGGAAGAGCAGTGTACCATGACTAGAAGAACATCTAGAGTAAGAAATGAATGACGGAGGGCAAAGTCTTGAAATTAACAAGCCATTGTAACCAACAAGACCAGTGTGATATCTTAATGGAACATTTGGCTGTTTAAAAAAACCCCTGAAGGCGTAGGCAAAAACAGGTGTTAGCCCCATCGAGTACGGAGTAACCCATGCGTTGATGCTGGTAGACTTACGGATGAAATAACAGGGGTCACGAAAAGAAAAGAAAACACAACGAGCCTCTAGCCCTTATTGAGAAAAGACAGAAGGAGAAAGATGTAGAGAAGACAGGAAACAGCCTCCAGATGCGTATAGAGAAAGAAAGCACGTCGCAGGAATGAGTAATAAGAATCAGGGTTTTCCAGCACCCCGAGGATCTAAATCAAAATCAGGCGTTGTTGCTTGCTTTTCCGCGCTACGAAAGTATGCATGGGCACAGGATGAGAGAGGCGTGGATTGTTTTGGGACCCAGTCCATGCCAAAATGAAGTGGAGCACATAGCGTGGGAGCGGACACGAAAGGGTCATTTGATAGCGTCGCAAGTGCGACAAAGGATCAATTGACCAAACAGGCAATATGCAACTGCCAGTCCTTGTTCATGTATGACAATCCCCATACTGCGTGTAACACCTTCGAGGGCGAAAAGAAAGACAGGCCCCCATCGAGCCCGTTTCCTGTTGGATGTTTCTTTGTTCGCGCTGAATTTTGGTGCCGGATTGTTGACGGAGTTCCATAAATCGCTGCAACATCAGGTTTAGAGTTGTATCTTAGGTGAGGACCGCGGATTGGCTCAACGAGTTTTAGGATCAGATCAACTTTTGGAAGCGAAGTGACTGGATTATTGGGTCTCCGGCCGTTCTCGAGCCCTATTGGCTCGGTGGAGACTCCAAGGTCGTTAGCGGTCGACGGTACGTCTCAAGTTGAGGAGAAGGTGCCACTTTGCGATTTCAACATGAAACCATTTCTCCCGTGTGCATGGTCCAATGGGCTTGGGAAGCGAAGGCTGGGACAAACGGCAGTCGCCGAGAGATCCGTCAAGACGTTGATCAATCCAAAGCTTGGAAATGGACAAAAGTACTAGCGATCGACAATTGTGAGAAGAGTACGGAGTAGTATAAAGGTAAAATCAAAGAACCAGCTCAGCTTCCAGAATATCTCCGATGGGATTTCACAGAAGAGGACACTTTTAGCCGAATCAACTTCGTCTTCATTTCGGTTCATGAAGTTTAACTATTGACTGACTATTCGTTAGCTTGTTCGTTAACTCGTCAAAGCGGCTTGGGCCCTGCAAGGGTCAAAGTGAGACACCAAGACATCAACCACATGGTGCCACTAATACCTAAGATGATACTGAAAAGCACCAATGAGAAAGTACCTTCGAGGTGCTAAGTACTAGATAGTTGCATGCAGGATGCAGAATCAGAAGGCGTTGGATGGAGATGGTACAACCATCTGGAGATACAGTAACAATGGTTACAGTAACCTATCGGCCTTTAGGTACCGTATGTATTAAAGATACGGTATTGAGCTACTGAAGAATTCCCACGCACATGGCACCGTTTATTTATTTATGATTTTTATATCCAACTCCATTTCTGGGCATTGAAAGCTTGCGGAGAAAGTTATCCTAAGTATAGTAATTGATAGATTAAATATCGAGGCCACTATTAAAGGAATTGATTGCACAGATCCCACCTCTCCACTTGCCCATGGCTTGTGCTTCTAGGAAGGACCACACAGTACAAAGGATCGCACATGCCGAGCTTATAGTACCCATCTTTTGGACATGCTCAGTCTCTAAGTAACGCCGTATATAGTACTAGTAGACCACCGGACGCTTTGTTCAACTTCTAAAAATATTAGGCGATACCGGACCAAAATTTGACGCAGTTGAACCATAGTTATTTGCCTAACTAACTACTAACTAGTTACAGTAAGTAGGCTTATCTAATTGCATTGACTCAACTTGGTTCCAGACCAAATGCATTGCACTTTTTCTGCATTCCTTACTTGAAGCGTCCAGGGTCTATACATATACACATACATATACACACATGCATACAT